GATTAGAGTCAGATGTGTAAGCACTGAGGAGAGGAAGAAGAAACAAACAGTCTAGAGATTTGGGCCTGGTGAAATTATCCTTCAAGACTTTCTCAGACAAATGAAAATTGAGGAAATTTGTTGACAGTACACTTGTCTTGCAATAAATGCTAGAAGTTCTTTAACAAGAAGGAAAATAACATAGATCTGAATCTAAAGAAAGGAACAGCATCAAAGTCAGAATAAGTGAAGGGAAATTAAAAACTTTTAGTTTTCTTATTCTTAATTGATTCAACAGATAAGTTTATTGAAAATAATAATACCAACAATGTAATCTATTATGTATGTATTACATATGAATGTAATGACAGTAATGATACAAGGGACTAAGGGAGGAATTAGGATTATTTTGTTACTATAAAGTACTCACAGTGCCCATAAAGTGGTACATGTAGAGTTCAGATATATTGCAGGTTTAGTTCCAGACCACTACAATAAACTGAATATTGTAGTAAAGCCAGTCATACAAATTTGTTTCCCAGGGCATATACGTTTACACTAAGCTGGAGTCTATTATGAGTTGCTGTTCAGTTGCTAAGTCACGTTTCTTTTGCGATACCATGTACTGTAGCCTGCCAGGCTCCTCTGTCCATGGCATTTCCCACACAAGAATACTGGAGTGGGTTGCCATTTCCTTCTCCAGGGGAACTTCCTGACCCAGGGATCGAACCTGCAACTCCTCCACTGGCAGGTGGATTCTTTAGCACTGAGCCACCTGGAAAGTCCCCAATATTAAGAGTACATTATGTTTAATAAAACAACACATAATATTTTAAAGAATACTTCATTGCTAAAAAATGCTAACCATCATCTGGAACCTTTAGGGAGTTATAATCGTTTTGCCATGGTAACATCAAAAATCTGATTACAGATCACTATAACAAATATAATAATGAAATACTGTGAAAAATACTGAAGAGAAATACTGTGAAAAAACAAATACTGTGAGAAAAACAAAAATATGACAGACATGAAGTGAGCAAATGTCTAGTGCTGACACTCACTTGATGCAGGGTTGCCACAAACCTTCAATTTGTAAAAATGCAGTTTTGTGAAGTGCATTAAAACAAGGTATGCCTGCATAGTATTCTTTGAAAGTGAACTTGAATCAGCTATGTATGTCTGCTGCAAACTCCATGGCAACCACTATAAACAGTTTAAAAAAGCATAACTGATGTGCCAGAAACAGAGAGAAAGCAAAACACATGAAATGCACAGTTCAAACCACAAAAGGCAGAAAAAGAATAGAGAACAAAAGTGAAACAAGAACAAGAGTACCAAACAGAAAACAGTAACGTATGTGGTAAATATTAAACCAACTATAGTCAAGAGTCACTTTGAATGTCAATGGTCTAAATGCACAAATTAAAAAACAAATTGTCAGGGTGCATCAAAAACCAAGACCCAACTATATGTTGTCTATAAGAAATCCACTTTGAACATAAAGATACAGGGCCTTACCTGGTGGTCCAGTGGTTAGAAATTCACCTGTCAATGCAGGGGAAACAGGTTCAACCCCTGGTTTAGGAACTACGATCCAACTGAGCCCAAGTGCCACAACTACTGAAGCCTGCCCATCCTAGACCTTGTGTTCTACAAGAGGTCCATGCACCACAACTAAAGAAAGCCCACATGCAGCAATGAAGAGTAGCATGTGCCACAATGGAGATCCAGTGCAGCCAAAAATGAATACTTTTTTTAAAGATTTAAAAAATTTTGAAGTATATATAAAGATACTTACATTCAGAGCACATCATGCAAAATGTTGGGCTGAATGAAGCACAAGTTGGAATCAAGATTGCCAGGAGAAATATCAATAACCTCAGATATGCAGATGACACCACCCTTATGGCAGAAAGACAAGAACTAAAGAGCCTCTTGATGAAAGTGAAAGAGGAGAGTGAAAAAGTTGGCTTAAAGATCAACATTCAGAAAACTAAGACCACGGCATCCGGTCCCATCACTTCATGGCAAATAGATGGGGAAACAATGGAAACAGTGACAGACTTTATTTTCTTGGGCTCAAAAATCACTGCAGATGGTGACTGCAGCCATGAAATTAAGACGCTTGCTTCTTGGAAGAAAAGCTATGACCAACCTAGAAAGCATATTAAAAAGCAGAGACATTACTTTGCTGACAAAGGTCCATCTAGTCAAAGCTATGGTTTTTCCAGTAGTCATTATGGATGTGAGATGTGGACTATAAAGAAAGCTGAGCACTGAAGAATTGATGCTTTTGAACTGTGGTGTTGGAGAAGACTCCTGCGAGTCCTTTGGACTGCAAGGAGATCAAACCAGTCAATCCTAAAGGAAATCAATCCTAAGTATTAATTGGAAAAAATGATACTGAAGCTGAAGCTCCAATCCTTTGGCCACCTGATGCAAAGAACTGACTCACCAGAAAAGACCCTGATGCTGGGAAAGATTGAAGGCAGGAGGAGAAGGGGACGACAGAGGACAAGATGGTTGGATGGCATCACCAACTCAATGGACATGAGTTTGAGCAAGCTCTGGGAGTTGGTGATGGACAGGGAGGCCTGGTGTACTGCAGTCCATGGGGCTGCAGAGAGTTGGACATGATTGAGTGAACTGAACTGATAAAGATACATATAATAAAAGCCTACCTCAAAGCAAGGAAAGCTATCAGAGATCAAGAAGTGCATTATATAATGATAAAGGGATTAATTCTCAAAGACAGCAAAACAATCCTTCAAGTGTACGTGTCTAACAACAGAGTGTCAAACTACATGAGGAAAAACTAATAGAGCCACAAGCATAAATGGATAAAACCACTATCATAATAGGAGACTTAAAACCCTTCTCTCAGACACATGGATCTAGCAGGTAGAAAATCAGTAAGGAGCTGAATCAGTAAGAAAATCAGTAAGAGCTAAAACTCAACACTACCACCAGTCAACTGGATACTGGTTATGGTGGACATCTAAAGACACATTGCATTCATCCAGTAATAGAAGAATACATATTCTTCTCAAGCCAGCGTGGAATATTCACCAAGATAAACAACATCTGGGCCATAAAACACATCCTAACAAATTTAAAAGAATAAAAGTTATATAATATGTATTCTCAGTCCACGATGGAATCAAACAAAAAATCACTAATAGAAAAATAACTAGAAAGTCTCAAAATACATGGAGGTTAAACCACATACCTTTAAATAAGCACATTCAAATATAAAAAACCTCAAGAGAAATTTCAAAACAGTGCTAAATAAAAACAGAAACACAACTGATCAAAATTTACGGGATGCAGCAAAAAAGCAGTGCTAGTGTGGAAATTTATAGCACTGAATGTAAACAATAGAAAAGACAGATCTAAGACAATTATCTAAATTTCCACCTTAGGAACCTAGAAAAAGAAGGGCCATTTAAATCCAAAGAAAGCAGAATTAAAAACCAGGGCAGAAATCAATGAAACTGAAAACAGGAAATTTATAAAGAAAATCAATGAGACCAAAAACTGGTTCCTTGAAAGCTGAACAAAAATCAATAAACCTCTAAGCCAGGCTAACTAAGAAAAAAAGAAGACACAAATACTAATATTGGAAATGGAAGAAGGAACATCACTACAGATCCCCTGGACATTCACTGAAAGGATAATAAAGAAATACAAGGAACAACTCTATGTCCAAAAACTTGATAACCTAAATGAAATGACCCAATTTCTTGAAAAGACAAAATCTGCTAATACTCAAACAAAAAGAAACAGAAAATCTGATTAGGTCTCTATTAAAGAAATGGAATAAATAAATAATTAATAACCTTCCAAAACAGAAAGCATCAGGCCAAGGGGGAGTTCACTCATGAATTCTACCAAATGATTAAAAATAAATAAATAAAAATGACAACAATTCTCTGCAATCTCTTTCTGGAAACAGAAGCAGAGGAAATACTTCCTAACTCATTCTACAAGGCCAATACTGAACCAATACTAAAACCAAAGACATATATAAGAAAAGAAAACTACAGACCATTATCTCTCTCATTAGATACAAAATCCTCAACAAGATATTAGGAAATCAAGTCTAACAAGGTATGTTGAGAATTATATAGCATGATCAAGTGAGATTTACCCCAGGTTTGAAATACTGGTTCAACATTTGAAAATAATGTATTCATGATATCAAAAAGTCAAAGAATTTACAAAGAGTTACAACTATATGTAACTATAATTGACCCTTGAACAAGGCAGAGGTTGCAGCAGTGATTACCTCCTTGGCATAAAAAAATCCACATGTAACTTTATAGTAGGGCCCTTACATAATCCTTGGGTCCAGATCTATGGAGTCAACCAAACTGTGAAGTACTGTAGTATGTATTTAATAGAAAACTATATGTATAAATGGATATGCATAGTTCAAACCTGTGTTGTTCAAGGATCAATCATGTATCAGTAGAGAAAAAGCATTTGACAAAATCCAACATCCACTCATGATACTCTCTCAACTAAAGTGGATCTTCTTCAACTTGATAAGTAAGATCTATCAAAAAAAACCCTATAACCAACACTTTTAATAGTGAGAAACTCAAAGCTTTCGCACTAAGAAAAGGAACAAGGTGGGGATCATCTCACTACCCCTCTTCAACATCATACTGGAAGTACTAGTTAATACAGCAAGACAAGAAAAAGAAACAGAAGGTATACAGATAGGGAAAGAAGAAATAACTTTGCAACCGTAAAATAATGCAAATTTCACACACAGAATTCAACATCCTAAGCCACTGAACCACACTTCAGCTTTCTTAAGTATTTTTGACCTCTCTCCCCACTAGTAAAGAAACAACAAAAAAATCAATAGCTTATTTTCCGATAGCCTCTTTTACTGGAGCTGTGACTTATTTGTCATGAACAGTAACAGTTTTTTGCATGCAACTATAATGACAACTTTAAGTAGAAAGTTTATGGGTATTAATGATAACAAAACATCAAGTGTTACTTACCCACAAGTAATATGTGAACTGAAGTGCAAAAATAGCAATGCCTTCGTTATCAAAGGATCCAGCTACTGACCGAGAAATGTAACCTGGTACAATAGCAATAAAGCAAGCAGCTAAAAGTCCTGCTCCTTGGTTCCAAAGTTCTCTGGTAAGCAGGAAAGTAGATATAGATGTAAGGCCGCTAAAAGTTGGTGCAAGGAACACACATACATCTCTTATGTGAACTGTTATGTTCAATGTATTTAAAATCCAATGGATAAGGCCAGCTGTTATCATCAACCCTGGGTAAACCTATGGGAAAAAAAAAGGAAAATTTAATTACAAATATAAGGAGGTAGCTGAAAACACTAAGCTCTTTATTATTACATAATTAGGTTGAGAATTATGAAGCTCACAACAGTTTGCCTTCTTGACCTACTACAAAATTAAATGTTCTTTTTCAACTGGACACAAAAAATTCTCATATGCAGAGGTATATATTTAAGCAAAAGAAGAAAGATCAGACTGAATGGAGGATTACAAGTGAAGATGTTTTAACAATGGAACACTGGGTAACTTTATAATTGTCCCCACTAACTCTTTCACTATAAACAGGGTTCTATCTAGCACATCCTTAAATATGGGGTTTTAACAATTTTGCCCATACTTGTGTTTAAGGGATTGAGAAATAAACAGAAGATGAAAAAAAGTTATGTGCAGTTATTATTTAAGTGATATTTATAAATGATTCCTTCCTCCCTTCAAGGTCAAGATCTGGAAAGTGAACAATTCTAGCTAGGATAAGGAGGACTAGTTAGTGAATTCAAATATAATATTTTGGAATTCCTCGAAGGTTGACATTTTTACACTTCTTAAAATACTTAACAATGGAAAGCAAATAAACTAGAATAGGCCCAGTTAATAGCTGTACTCTTCAACCTCTCCCCAAAGGAGGAACATGAAACATTTAAGATTCAACAAACAATAAACAGGACATTAATTCTGAGCTATTTGTGATTAAAATGTGTATTTACACTTTCATCGTTAGCTACATCCTAAAAGATTTTTTCTTTCTCCATCACTGAAACTACAAAGAATGTTATAAATTTACTTTCTGAGCCATACTATTGAAAACTGCAAACTTTCCATGGTCTTTAAACCCACTCCTTTGCTTTTTCTCCATAGCCCTTATCACCACTTCACATAGTATTTATTTTACTTATTTACTTACTGTCTATTAAGTAAATACCCTTGGGGACTTTCCTGGTGATCCAGTGGTTAAGAGTTCGCACTTCCAATGCAGGGAGCATGGGTTCAATCCCTGCTTGGGCAACTAAGATCCAACATGCCGCACAGCATGTCCAAAAATAAATAAATAAATAAACACTCTCACAGAATACAAGCTCCAGAATAACAAGAAAAATTTCCCCAGCATCCAAATATCAATGATAGGCATAAAATAGATGCACAATATCTATTGAATGCACGGAAGGAGAGTGGGGTAAGGAAAGGGGAAAAAGTATGGTAATCATCACCATTCTTAAAAATTAAAATTTTGTTCCATTACATATATAATACCAGGTCCCAAATGAACAGTTTTGCTGGAAATATTTTTTTTTTAATGGAAATAAATCTGAAAGTATCTAAATATGGTAGATTGAATTGACATACAAAATAATACGTAGAAGTATTAGATGAAAAGATCAAGGTATTCTAGACAAACCAAACCACTCAACAACAAAAAAAGCATGTTTAACCTTAAAACAAAGAGAGCCTAAAAGGGAATCCTTTAGGTTCCAAACATAAAGAAGCATTTCAAACTAGGGACTGATGCCACAGAAGTCTTAAAAAACAAAACACTCAAGGCCCTAACATATACTTTAGGTACTTCAGGTGGTTGGGGGATAGTTATTGCTCACCACTGAGATTAAAGAAAAGGCCTAAATCCCAGCACAAACCCAGGGCCTGTTTATGAAACTAGATGAATTCTACCCATCCATCAAATGAAACAGTAAGCAACTTCTGCCTTACTTTCAAAACTTTAAATAGAAACAAAACAAGAAATAACTCATTCACCACATGGGTGAGGTATGGGTTCCACATTTATACATGCAAGCTCAGTCACTAAGTCACGTCTGACTCTTTGCAACCCCATGGAATGTAGCCCACCAGGCTCCTCTGTCCATGGGATTCTCCAGGCAAGAATACTGGAATGGGTTGCCATCTGCTTCTCCAGGGGACCTTCCCAACCCAGGGATCCAACCCTTACCTCCTATACTGGCAGGAGGGTTCTTTACCACTGAGTCACCAGGTAAGCCCTCTCCACATTTATAACAACTTCACATATAAGAAACTTAAGACTGAGAAACAACCTCTAAAAACAGTCCTAAACTTCTGAGGGCTCCAGCAAAAGGAAGTGAAAAAGATTATTTTAAGGATGGTCCCAAATGCCAGGACACCAGGAATCTCAGAAAACCAGCCTTCACTGAGGGTGAATTCAAGATAAAAAGTTATAAACATACCAGGAAATAAACTATAGTAATCAAAGATTAGTATAAGAAAAGACATGACAGCATTCACAGCACAAGCACTACAGATAATAGTCATCTACCACATCTTTCACAATTCAATACCTTTCTAATCAACCTCAGAGGCTATCATGACTATTCTTCTGTATCATTATCCCTATTTACAAAGATAAAAAGAGTCCCAGATTATAAATATAACATCTCACTATCATGGAGAACATATTCCTTCCAAATGAAGAGGGAACATTTATAAAATTTGGTATTATCTTGGGGCCACAAATCATGTCTCAATAAATTTCAAAGGATTAAAATTACAGAATTTGTTTTCTAACATTAATTTATTTGAAGTAAAAAGCAATATAAGATGATGAGGAAATTCTCTTATGTTTAAGAGTTAAATACAGTCCTAAGTAACTCATGAAATCAGATAAAATTATAACAGAAATTAAAATACATTTTGACTTGAATGATAATGAAAACACTACGTATAAAAACTTAACCAATGTAGATACAACAGTGATCATGAGGCAATTTGGAGCTTCAAAACAATCAGTAACATATAAAAGTTGAAAATTATTGAGCAAACTGTATCAGGAAACTAGATAAAAATATCAAACTCAAGAAAGGAGGAGGAAGGAAAAAAATGGAAGCTAACACAAGACAAATATTTAATAATCAACAAAGTTTCTTTGGCTTAAAAAATCTACTAAAATTGATAAACCTCTGACAAAACTGATCAAGAAAAAAATATTAAATGTATATGTTTCTCCAGTAGGTGCCTTGTCTTTCATTTTCTCTCAAACCATTCTCCTTACATCCCAAATCCTAAAAACATTTTCCTTTCTATCATCTTCTGGACATTATAATTTCCCATAAATTATGAACAATACCTAATCTACCTGGAGTAATTTGAGACAGATTTAGGACCTCGAAAATTAGAATTATCTGATTGTCCTACATTTCTAATTCCTTCCAAAATGTTTTTTTCAATAAAGCTTCTACAGAACAAAACAAAAACACAAGTAACCTGAACTTAAGAGTGTGACAAGAGCTTCTCCTCCTAACCTCCACCACTTGTCAGAAATAATGGCTAGTATGAGATAACCCCAAAACAGGCTGGGAGGTGGGGGTATGTGAAGAAGGGTATCAAGAAAAGAGATTTAACAAATTAAATAACAGATAATTAGCCACAGAAAATGTATCAGTTAACAATATAAAACTTTTAAGAATTGCCATCACCTTAGTGATGAATGATTTACTCAAATCACTGAAAAAGTTTAAGATTAACATGAGTAACCGCATATATACTTACAGTACCACCTACTATTCTTCCTAGTGGATACCATGCTCTTTCATCAAACCAATTTAAAAATTCATAAAACCCATGAGACGCAAGATGATGTGTTGATCTATAGTTAAACCTAGAGAAAATAGGAAAAAAAGAAATGTTATAAAACTTGGTTTACTAAAAAGAAATAGCTCTAGCTTTCTAATATTATACTTTATATTTAACTCTTTATACATAAATCTATGGCTATATAAATATATCTTTCCTAACAATTTTCCTCAAACCTGAACAACAGATTATTTTCTAAGAAATTGGCTTATACCTCTAAAAATAACTAAAAACAGAGCCCAGTCTCACCCCCAAAAACAAGTCTACAAAACTAGTAATGATCAAATTAACATTTGGCCATTGCTTGGGGTACAGATGGTTCATAGCTATGCATCTGAACAAAAATGTGATGGTACATAAAATTTACCAAATCTTCAAAGATGTCAATGACTCTCAAATGATTAAAAACCACTAACAGAATACAGCACCAAAATGAGGCTTGTATATTCAATATAACTGCTTTCAATTCCTGCTTATTTAACTTATATGCAGAAGACAGCATGCAAAATGCTTGGCTGGATGAATCACAAGCTGGAATCAAGATTGCCAGGAGAAGTATCAACAACTTCAGATATGCAGATGACACCACTCTAATGGAAGAAAGTGAAGAGGAACTAAAAAGTCTCTTGATGAGGGTCAAAGAGGAGAGTGGGAAAAGCTGGCTTAAAACTCTACATTCAAAAAACTAACATCATGGCATATGGTCCCATGGCAAACAAATGGGGAAAAAGTGATTTCGGTGATGGATTTTATATTCTCAGGCTCCAAATAACTGTGGATGGTGACTGCAGTCACAAAATTAAAAGATGCAAGCCTGCTCCTTGGAAGGAAAGCTATGACATACCTAGACAGGTATTAAAAAAGCAGAGGCAGTACTTTATTGATAAAGGTCTGTATGGTTAAAGCTATGGTTTTTCCAGGTAGTCAGGTATGAATGTATAGGAGGAATTGAGTCATTAAGAAGGCTGAGCACCAAAGAATTGGTGCTTTTGACTTGTGGTGCTGGAGAAGACTCTTGAGAGTCCCTTGGGATCAAATCAGACAATACTAAAGGAAATTAACCCTGAATATTTATTGGAAGAACAGACGTTGAAGCTCCAATTCCTTGGCCACCGGATGTGAAGAACTGACTCATTGGAAAAGACCTTGATGCTGGGAAAGACTGAAAGCAAAAGGGCGGCAGAGAATGAGATGGTTACATAGCATCACCAACTCAATGCACATCAATGCGAGTAAATTCCAGGAGATAGTGAAGGACAAGGAAGCCTGGCATGCTGCAGTCCATAGGGTTGCAAAGAGTTGGACACGAGTTATCGACTGAACTATAACTCTAAAAATCACAGAAACAAAGAGTTAAGTTATAAATAACCATGGGAGATGAACAGTAACTACTGTAAAATAAGAACATGACCTTAACAAATGAGAATTTTGATCAATGAAAGACAAAATAACAAATAAGAAGAAATGAGATGGAAGAAGCCACAATCCAAACTGCAACCTGAAGTAACTGCAAACTATGGTGTGTGTGTGTACATGTGTGCATGCTTGGGTGTTGGAAGGGGTAGAGTTGAAGAGGCTATATTCAGGATGGTTCATGTTTAATATAAAGTTGCTGAGGGAGGGAGAGAGGCAAGAGAAAATCCTGCATCAACCTCAGGGTAATGAGCAATAGGAACTGCTAGGCAGGTGGATCCCCTTAAGACGACCACTGCCAAGCAAGGAAGTGGGCCTCAGCGGTATCCCCAACACACACAGCCAAGTAATTCAAAGAGTGGAACGATGCTTTCCAGATAAATAGTAAATCCTCATATCCAAAATCAGCTTGATATATCCTTCCCAACAGCAAGTCACGACTTTCCAACACACGATCACTAGAAACAAAATGCTGTAATATTTTAAGACAGACTTGATCTAATACAAAATAAGCACACATCCAAAAATCAAACATGAGAAAAATAAGCAATATAAAAACTAAGCATCGAAATCAACCAATGGAAGAACTAATACCAACAGACATAAGAATAACTTCAGAAGTAAGATAAGCCACACAGTCTGAAAGGAAGTGTAACCAAGAAGTTTAGAGTACAAGTGTTAGAATCATACTGCCTGGGTTTGGATATCCTGCTTCCATACCTACTAGCTATATGACCTTGGCTGGGCAAATGACTTATACTCTCTGTGGTCTAGTTTCTCCCTCTGTAAAAAGGGGAAAAAAAAAGGAATAACAATTGTACCTCTGTCAATAAGGTGGCTTTAATAAATAAACAATATTATGTCCCTAAAGCACCCAGAGGCTACTGCTACTATTACTGTGAAATAAAGTATGGTAAAAGCACTATTTGAGTTTTTGAATGTCAAATTAAAAATAAGCTAAATATTAAAAAGGTTAAAGATGCAAAGCAAATTAGTAACAAGACAAAAAGTGTCTTGAGAGGTGGCATTTAAAAAGATGGCACAGTAGGTGATAGCAGTCTTCATACCCCCAATAAAAAATAACAGACAGCTATCCACAAAGGAAAATATTTACGGGAAGCTCAAGTACAGCTGAGATCCTACAGCAGCACAATGAAGCAAAGGATGGAGAGCAACCACACAGACAGAAGATCACTAGGGTGACAGGCTTAGCTGAGACATCTAGAGACAACCAGGATCAACGAAGGGTGGAGGCCATCAGTATCAGCCACGTGGCAGGTACCCCTGCACTCCCCATGGTCTGCTCTGTGGTGGACCTAGGCAGGCTTTTTGACTGGGGACAACAGCACCCATGAGAGCTTTCACAAAGGAGGACCCAGTTAAGTATTCATCAGAGCAGACCCCAGTGGCCTGCTCTGCAGAGGACAACAGCTTTCACCGAAAGTCATCACTGCCACAGGGCCCCTGGAGAGGGAGACGCTGCTATGCCCTCAACAAGAAAGATTTGCTGCTGCACTGCCCCAGGACTAGGGCTACCACGGGCCCACAAATATTCTTGAACCCCAGAACCACTGTTAAGTGCTTCCACTTCAGATTCCAGCTCTGCAGCTGCCTGAGCTCCAGATCCCGGCTCCATGGTTGGCTCGACAAGTGCCTATGATCCGGGCCCCAGATCTGCAGCTGAGCCACCACTGCCTGTGCTCTAGCTCCCAGCTCCACGGTGACTCCACGCACATCAGCCAGTAACACCACAATCAGCAGGACACTGGTGAGCTGCGCCGGGTGCCAACAAAGACTTCCTTGGCCACAACAACTCACCATGGGAGAAAAAAAGATCAGAAGGTCCCCAGTAGCCCTTACAGCCCACATGGACACCTGCAGCCTGGGCACTGAGAACCTCCGCAATCTGCAGTCTTCACTTAAACTCAGCTGTTAGCACTGCACGAGGACTACACCCCTGGATCTTCCCCAGGGTAAGAACTGCCAGTCTATCCAGCCGTCACTCTTGCACTTACCCACAGGTGAAGGTCTTTCCCCACCAAAATTATTCCATAAAATGGGCAGACATAAAGGTGGCTCAGATGGTAAAGAATCCACCTGCAATAAGGAGATGCAGGTTCAATCCCTGGGTTGGGAAGATCCCCTGGAGAAGCGAATGACAACCCACTCCAGTATTCTTTCCTGGAGAATCCCATGGACAGAGGAGCCTGATAGGCTACAGTTCATGGGGTCAAAGAGAGTTGGACACGACTGAGTGACTAACACACTACATAAAAGTAAGGCTACAAGAAATGTTTAAAAAAAAAAAAAAGACAAGAAAACATGAGAACGCCAAAGGAACACAATTATTTTTCAGTAACTGACCACAGAGTAATAGATCTATTTCTCAACGAAGACTTCAAAGTAATTGTTTTAAGGAAGCTCAGCAAGCTACCAGAGAAGCCAGATAGACAACTCAACAAATCAGGAAAATACACATGAACAGAATAAGAATTTCAACAGAGACAGAAATTACACTTAAAAAAAAAAAAACAAAGAGAAATATTGGAGCTAATTAACAAAATGAAAAAGAAAATGCAGTAGAGAACATTAATTGTAGACTTGAACTAGCAGAAGAATCTGAAAAACAGAAGAAAGGTTACTTGAAATTATCAAAGCAAAGGAAAAGAAAAGCAAGTAAAAAATAGCCTACATCAACTATAGGCCATCATCAAGGGTAATGATTGCATTATAGGAGTTCTAGAAGGAGAGATAGGGGTAGGGAGGTTATTTAAAGAAATAATGGCTTAAACCTTCCCAAATCTGGGGAGAGAAATTGAATCATCCTGGCATGTGGTGTTCACATGCCCCAATGACATATTCAACTCACACAGGACTTCACTGAGAGATAATCTAATAAAACTATCAAAAATCAAAGACAGAGAATTCAGAAAGCAAGAGGAAAGAAACTCATACATGAGACCCCACATAAGGCTATCAGATTTCTCAGTAGAAACCTTGCACCAGAATAAGGTGTATAGATTCAAACTGCTAGAGAAAAAACCTGCCAACTAAGAATACTCAGCAAAGCTAACCATCAGAAAAAAAATTCCCAAACTAAAAAAAGAGAGTGAGAAAGAAAATTTGCAGTTCATCACTACCAGACCTGCTTTATAAGAAATGTTAAAGGGAGTTCTACAAGCTGAAATGAAAGGACAGTAATTAGTAACTTAAAAACATACAGTATAAATTCACCGGTAAGATATGGACATAAGCAAGCTCAGAATATCCTAGTACTGTAATGGTGTGTAAATCACTTAACTAGTATAAAGGCTGAAAGACAAAAATAAAAATATCTTCAGTTTCAATAACTTGTTAAATACAAAACATAAAAAGACTGATATAATGGCTTAAAGTTGACTGTTACGTTTTATTTAAACCTCAGGGTAGTCACAAAGCAAAAACTTACAGTAGATACAAAAAGAAAGAATACCACGAAGAAAAACTATCAAATCACAGAGGAAGATAGCAAGAGAAGAGAGGAACAAAAGAACTACAAAACAATCATAAACAATTAACAAGATGGCAGTAGTTAAGTCTTTCAGTCAGTCAGCTCAGTCGCTCAGTCGTGTC